CTCGAACTCACGGACCGCGAGATCGTGACCTGGCTGAAGTCGGACGCTCAACCGACTGCGCCACCCAGGCGCCCCGTAAGATAATTTTTTAAAGACTTAAGAATAAGAATGTTTAGGATTCTCCAAAAGATAAACAATATAAACCATTTTAAAAGAATAAGAAATTAGGATAAGTCAGCAGAAATGAAATAATAATAAATAAGAACCAATTTTAAGACATCTTAGAATTGAATTTATGAAAATTAAATCAGTAGATAGAATGAACCCTAACATAAGACATGGTTGAAGAGGGAATTAGGGAAGAAGAAAGTTATTCTCAAGAGTTCACCCAGAATACAGAATATAGAGAGACATACAATAGTAAAAATTTATGTAGTTAAGAAACATGAAAAACAAGGATTGAGGAATTTCAGTATACATCTAATGGGAGTTCTAGAAGAAGAGGCCTTAAGAATGGCTAAGAAGCAGTAACCAAAGACCTAATGTCTGAAAATTCTCCAGAAATGAAAACTTGGGTCCTTACATTAAAAGTACATTCTGCATACTAAGTAGAAGAAATAAAAATCACAATGAGAAACATTCAGTGCAACTACAAAGTGAAAAGGATAAAGAAAAACTTAAAAGCTGCCAGAGAGAGGAAATAAATCTCTAAAACATTATCAGTTAACCTTCTCAACAGAAACAATAGAAACTAGAAGGCAATGAACTAATGTTTTTAAAATGCTGAGAGAAACTTTACCCATCTATACCACCATTCAAGATTGGGGGCAAAATAAAGACATTTCAGGCAAAGACTAAAATAATTTATCGCTGGCATACCCTATCTGTAAGAATTTCTAAACGTCATCCTTTAGCAAGAAGAAAAGGGAATCTAAAGGTAGGCATAGGGTGTACTTTTTGACAAAAAAGACTATTGTCTTTAGTATAACTAAAGATAATATAATTATTTTTGTAAAGGTTGCTTTGAATTTCTGGAAAATAATCTAAAGTGTGCTAGGAGTATTCAAAAAGATGAAGGTGCTGATCATTTTAGCTATAATTTTTTTTAATAAAATGAAGTATATTTTCTAAATGTATGTGTTTATTGAGTACCTACTATGTGCTGGCACTGGCCTAGATTCTGGGGATAAAACAGTGGAGAAAATAATCTCTTCATGGAGTGTATATTTTAGTGGAAGTAAACTGTATACTGCTTAAAAGAAACAGTAGAACCCAAACAGACAGACTTGAATACATTCGTAGACAGGAAAGGATGCACCTGGAAAATCTATTGCTGTGATGAAGTGAAAAGCTGATGTGACAATATTAATCTCAGATAAAATACAGTTTAAGGTGAAGAGCATTAATAAGCAAAATGAGCAACTAGAGCATTATTGAATTTACATAACATCTAACAGAGGCTTGAAAGTGAAAACTGACAGGATTCGAAGAAAACTGATGAGTCCCCGGTTATGATAGATTTTGGCATACCTCTATTAAGAAAGAGGTATTAAGAAAATTGAATGTATAGAAAATTTGAACGACAGAACTAATTGATACAGTACACAGAGGAGATTTTGTACCCAACAGAGGGTATGTGCTATTTTCGAGTACACAAGGAATACTTAGAAAAATCTTGTCCTAAATCACAAAGGAAGTCTCCAAAATTTAAGGTAACCAGAATAATATAGACCATGTTCTCTAACCACAATAATTAAAATTGAAACCAACAATAAAAAGAGATTTTTAAAAACTCCTATCAATAGAAACTAGAAAATGTACTTACAGATAACTCATAGGTTAAAGAGGAAGCTTGAAAACAGCCAGCAGGTAGGTAGAAGGAAGGGCTATAAAAGATATGCACAAAAACTAATAAAATGGAGGGGGGGGATTAATACTTCCCTAATTTTATATTGTAATGATCAATGATAGGACTAACAGAATTGGCCAAGAAGAGTATAGGTATTATATTTGAGGCTCTATTCCTATTCATGGCTTATTTTCTACATTAATAATCTTTTTCTTTAGAAGATACCATTGTGAGCTAATAAGAAAAATATAGGACTCAAAATACAAAATAGAAACTTAGTTGAAGAGTGTGTATCTTTTACATATAACAAAATTAACTGTAGACTAACTATGTAAGTGAAAATATCAAATTGTAGAATTACTTTACTGTTGTTTATTTAAAGGATTTATAATGGCCTTTGATAGAAAGTTCTTTCTATACATTTAAGGTATTTTTCTTTCTCTTCTTGTAGGTTACTCAAATGAGTCGTCCAGACCTGATTCTCTTTCTGATGAAATACCTGATGGCTCTCATAGTTGGTATTCCCTCCATTTTTTGGGTTGGAAGCAAAAAGACATGCTTTGAATGGGCCAGTTTTTTTCATGGTCGTAGGAAAAAAGAGTAAGTTGAAATTATCACAGTGTTCACAAACCTCATATTCACATAAAAGTTTTACGTTGCTTATGTTAAAACACTTTGGATTTGGAGGATGTATTTCGACATGATTATAACCTCAGCTGCTACTACTGAGCACAGTAGCGTGTCAAAATTAAAAGCTAAAAGTTTATTCTTTTTTTTTATTTATTATTTTTTTTTTAATTTTTTTTTTCAACTTTTATTTATTTTTGGGACAGAGAGAGACAGAGCATGAACGGGGGAGGGGCAGAGAGAGAGGGAGACACAGAATCGGAAACAGGCTCCAGGCTCCGAGCCATCAGCCCAGAGCCTGACGCGGGGCTCGAACCCACGGACCGCGAGATCGTGACCTGGCTGAAGTCGGACGCTTAACCGACTGCGCCACCCAGGCGCCCCTAAAAGTTTATTCTGACAACGTAGCCAAGTAGAACCAGACTTGAGGTCTATGCCTTACTAATTCAGAATATTTGAGAGAAAGCCAATCTTATTTTCAAAAATTTAAATTTTAACTAAAATTAACAAATTAATGCTTTTATGTATATTATTATTTGATCTTCTCAGTATTCTTGTGAGGGCTGGTATGTATTATTTCTGTGTTACAGATGAGAATACTGACACAGAGAGGTTAAATGCTTTGGCCAAAATCACAGGTATTAGGTTAGACTTTCCTTTCAGTTGCCCATTGTCCTTCCAAGTATACCAGAAATGATATAAAGAGATAACATGTTATTCCATTATGATAAAGTATATATTAAAGCCAAAATAGATGATATTAAATGCATTATAAAATGATAATGAAATACATTAAAGAAATTATTTTAAATCATTGTTGGCCACACTGCATATTAGAATGTCATGGTAAAATATATTTACAGCATCTTTAATCATAAAGCAAAAGGAAAACAAGACTATAGTATTCACAAAGGAACAAATCATTTCAAACTTATATTCAGTCTAAATCTTACATGTATACTATACCTGAATTATCACAAATTCTAAGTTGAGTCTGTATGCTTATGATTTTACCTAAACTAAGGTCCATGGAAAATGGGTTTTGGGAGAAGGTTTGTGAAGCTCTTAAGGTTATATTTAAAATGTTGTGCTTTGGGGTGCCTGTGTGGCTCAGTCGGTTGAGCATCGACTTTGGCTCAGGTCATGATCTCATAGCTAATGTGTTCAAGCCCTGAGTTGGGTTCTGTGCTGACAGCTCAGAGCCTGGAGCCTGCTTTGGATTCTGTGTCTCCCTCTCTCTCTCTCCGTCTCTCTCAAAATAAATAAACACTAAAAAAATTTTTTTTAATGTTGTGCCATACATGGGTTAATGTACTTTTCCCATACAACTTAAAATGCCTCATTAACAAAATCTATTTTCTTAAGTACAGTAATTAGGCGTTACTATTACACAGATTAGATTGAGATAAAAATGCACAGTTTTAAAATGTACATTTCTTATTACTATATCTGAGACTGCTACTAGTGATATCAGATAATGCATTTCTCCTTTAAGTAACAGTTTCACAGAGCAGAGAAGGAAAGAAGGGGAAAGAGTTTATTCAACAATAACAACAAAAACCTATTTCCTGGGCATTCATTTTTTAAGAAAGTCTTTATAGAATGCTTACTATGTGCCATGAACTATGTTGCAACACCAGGGATGCAGCAGCAAACAAATAGGCTGAGTCCCTGCTTTCATGGAATATCTGTCCCTATGGGATTTACTGTGACTTATCTGTATATTCTTTGACATTTTTAAATATATTTTAATCACACTAAGAGATAATACTGAGGAAAGGTCTTGTATTAAACATTTCTGGTCACCTCTGGACCTTATACAAACAGTTCTGTAATAGGGTTATATTAGAAAGTCTAGGTAGAACTAAACCCAAGCTACTCTTATGGAGAATTATCTTAATTATTTGGGGGATCCTGGTTGGGCCAGAATCATTTTGAAACTGGTCAGAACTCCCAAGACCCTTCTATTTGGTTTTCTGTGACCATGGATCCCCACCTAACAAAGCCATTGTAATCCTCCAAGCCAGGACTGTGCCCTGGGCTAGAGGGCAGCTCCTTATGCTGGAGCTCAAGGGTATGAGCATCCCATAGCTATTTCTAGCATGTGTCTTCTACTTTAGCCTTGAGAAATAACTGTAAAGTAATCGTAATAATGGTTACCAATAATTGAGCACATTTAATATTCTAAGCACTGTTCTAAACATTTTATATACTATTAAACCATTTAATCCTTCAAATAGCCTTGTAAGAAAGATCATCATTTTACAAATAAGGAAACTGAGGCATGGATTCAGGGTTTCATAGTGAATGCTAGAATTGAGATTCAGAACCAAGCATTCTGACTCTAGGCTCTAGTCTTTGCTCTCAACCTCTTTGTTATGTACTGTGCTACAAAGAGACTATTTTCTAAAATTGTGCTAATCAAATTAGTGTTTTCCCTCTAAGTGAAGCCACACTTAAGGTTGTGTTTATACTAGTAATGCTGACACTGATTGAAATATTTTTAGAAATCTTCTTTTGGAATTATCTGGATCATATCACCTAATTTCTCTGTAAAATGAGGGGACAAACCTTTACCATTTCAAGGTGGATTAAATTTTTGTCATAACCAGATGTCAGTTTGAACCAAGTTTTAAAAATAAGTTTAGAAAATAAAGTCAGCAATCAAGACTGACTTGGGATTTATGAATATATGAGTAGGGCCTCTGATGAAGGAGAAACAAATACTGTTTGTTTTTTTCAGCTATCTTTGACTTGTTCTTTCTTCTATCCAGTTTTTGACACTTTGTTTCCAGGGTGTGTGTGTGTGTGTGTGTGTGTGTGTGTGTGTGTGTGTCTGTCTGTCTCTCTCTCTCTCTCTCTCTCTCTGTCTCTCTCTCTCACACACACACAGACACACACACACACGTATATGTTATGTTTTATCATTAAGTTTGATCCTTGACTGTTGGTTTTATTGCGTGACTTTTGGAAGTTCTCTAATCCTTTAGAACCTCAGATTTTTCATCTATAAAATAGAGATCACAGTATTTATTCTTAATAGATACCTATTCATAACAGATAACTCATACTCTCTTAGAGATACCCTCTTAGGACATTGATCTCCACAATAAAATAAAAACATTATTAAGAAGGATCAAAGGAGAGTGTATGTAAAATACCTGTCACAGTGTGGGTACTCAACAGATATTTGCCTTCCTTTAGCCCTTTTACCTCACTGCTAAAACAGTAACAGTAACAACAATCCTTTTGTAATCTGAAAACTTAGAATATATGCACTCTTTTAAAAAAATTTTTATTCATTCATTTTCATTTTTTTTAAATTTTATTCATTTTTATTTTGAGAGAGAGAGAGAGAGACCGAGCATGAGCAAGGGATGGGGGAGACAGAGGGGGACACACAGAATCCGAATCAGGCTCCAGGCTCTGAGCTGTCAGCACAGAGCCCCACATGAACCCATGGCTCGAGCCCCACAGCTCGAACCCATGAACTGCGAGATCATGACCTGAGTTGAAGTTGGACGCTTAACTGACTGAGCCACCCAGGCGCCCCTAGAATATATGCACTTTGTTAATGTATGATCCAATCTTTATATGTTAGAGTTTTGTTTTTTTCATGAAATTGTTTATCTAATTTTAATTTAAACGTCTGATTCTCATAGTTGCTTGTTTACATAAACTGACACTGATCTTTGCAACTATTTCACTGGCTCTTCTTATCAGTTTAATTACTGCTTTGTTTATCATCATAAATAAATGTTTTTAACCTTTCCATAGCAGTTAAAAACTTTTGCTCTTGACAGTAATTCATCTCCTTAGTTTTTTTTCCCTTAAGGCTTTAATATATCCGGTAGTTAATTTTATGTTCACTTAATTTTTCATATGTTTTGTTTAATTATGACCAATCATGTTTAATCTAGCACTGAACAACTGCTTTACCATAAAACCAACTTGTAGCCTGAAAACAACTGTTGTAACTTACAAGTTCAAAAAATAGCTGTGTTACAGTGAGGCCTCTGATACATCCATAAACCATGCAAGAACAAATTTCTCTATTATAAAATCTTTTATAATATTTCAGTGTGATTGAGAATCAAATTTCTTTTTTTTTTTAAGTTTATTTATTTATTTATTTTGAGAAGGAGAGAGAGAGAGAGAGAGAGAGAGAGAGAGAGACAGAATCCCAAGCAGGCTCTGTGCTCCTCTGCCTCACAAACTGTGAGATCATAACCTGAGCTGACATCAAGAGTTGGACACTTAACTGACTGAGCCACCCAGGCACTCCTAGAATTATAAACTTCTTTAATTGAAAGGAACCTTTTAGAAATGATAAAATTGTATAGCTTCATTTCATAGATGACAAAAATGAAAGAAAGGGAATAATGACTTGCTTAAGATCATGTATTTATTGAACTAAAATCCTGATTTCCTTATTTTGATGCAGGCTTCTTTCCATCATACCACTTTAGAGTACAGATTTATAGGGATTTTTGTTGTATTCTTTCCTCTGTCAACGATGTTACCTTATATCTCTGCTAAAGACATTATTTGAAGAGCAATTAATTTCAAGAATAATGTCAGTATGTCACAAAAGTGTTGTTTATTGGTCTATGGGAATGTTAGTCTGTATCTTAAACTTAGTATTTTGTTCTCTAGGATAGTGAATGAGAGCCGACAGGTACTACAGGAACCTGATTTTGCTCAGTCTCTCCTGAGGGATCCAAATACTCCTATTATAAGAAAATCAAGGGGAACTTCCACTCAAGGAACATCCACACATGCTTCTTCAACCCAGCTTGCTATGGTGGATGATCAGAGAAGCAAAGCAGGGAGTGTCCACAGCAAAGTAAGCAGCTACCACGGCAGTCTCCACAGATCCCGTGATGGCAGGTGAGTTTTTTTGGAAGATTAGTTTATTTCATAAGTTGAATTAGTCACACAACTTAAGAATGAAGAGTAGCCAAATCTGAAATAGAAGTTGGACATCATTTGTATTTTTTAAAAAAAAATTTAATTGAAGTATAATTAACATAGAGTGTTATATTACTTTCAGGTGTACAATATAATGATTCAACAGTTCTATACATTATTCAGTGCTCATCATAAAAACTATAGTCTTAATCCCATTTGTCTGTTTCACCCATCTTAAAGAATTTAAGAATCTTTTTTTGTCTCTTTTTTTCTTTGTTCATTTATTTTGCTTCTTAAATTCCAAATGTAATGTGAGTGAAATCATATGGTATTTGTCTTTTTCTGTCTGACTTATTTTACTTAGCATTATACCCTCTAGGTTTATCCATGTTGTCACCGGTGGCAAGATCTTTTTTATGGCTGAGAGGAATGTTACCCCCTTTTATTTTTTAAAGTTTACTTATTTATT